ATCGAAAATGCATAAAACGATATTTTTATTCGGGGTTGCCACGAAAAACTGAAAAATATAGGAATTAGATAAATCATAGAAAAGTCAAGAAATTCTCTGGAAAATGAAAATTTTTGTTTTTGAAAAGAAGTTTGATATGAGTGCATCACACCTATATGCAGTTTTGGAATACTATCAGCTTAATAATTACATGCAAGTAATGTCAGTAACATTAATTTACATTGTTATGTTAAAATAAATTGATCTCTCAATAAAATATTTAATGAATTCCAAATTAGGGCGAAAAAAATACAAAAAAGCTTTAAAATATTATTGAAAGTCGGGGAAAGTCGTGAAATTTTGTCTGAAAATCGAGGGAAACATCATGGAATTTTGGGACAAGGAATTTATGGCAAATCTATCTTATTACGAAACTCTATATTGAGCGAAAATGCATAAACCTTATTCTGGCGATGCGTTTAACGGCGCGAGTGATGCGTGCACGATACAGATGTTTTAACGATAGAAATACGGCTGCCGGGTTCATCCGATCCCGGTTAATCGGAGCATCGCGTGGATCGACCACATTTCTGCATGAACTCGCGCGAAATTTATTTATACTCGCGCCGCTCGTTGGAGTCACAGCGGCGTTCGCTCGGAAATGCACTTTGGTGTACGCGCGTGCGACGCGCATATTTCATGGCATAGACGTTTAGGAGCATGGAATAAATCGCGAGCGAGCGAAGGTACATTTGCATACAAACGCAAAATGTCCCCGCGATTATGTACGTAAATAAGTGGTCACCGCGAACGCGCCTATTTTAGAGTCGTCGCGATGCTTCCTGAACACGGTAATTGCGCAACTTCACCTTTTTCTGTTGTCAAAATGCATCTTGTTTGTATATACTCGGAAGTTGAACGCGGCGAAAAAACATATAGAAGGGAAAAATAAAAACGAAAGATCAATAGAAGCTATAACGAACACCTCTCCGCGTATTCTTCGAGCTTGACAAGTCGTACGCTTCATCGAGGTTCAAATATTATTTCAAATATTATTTCGGCTACGCATGAATAGGCACTCGGGTCAAGACACAGCGAAATGTAAAAGTAACGTGTAAGGAGCGAAGAATTAATAAAAGAATAATATCAAAATTCGATCAGTAATAGGAATCTTAAAATGTAACACATCTATAAAGAGGACTACATGTCTTATATCTATTTTATTTC